TATGTCTCGATATTAATGTTAATATATTATGAATAACTTGATAAACCCCGTGGAATAAAATAGGTATCTCTTGAGTATCTATGATGAGATCACAATAATGAGGATTCAAGAATACCGGATGTTTATTCCTAATTTTATGTTCCTAGTCTAGAGATACTGAGAATGGGGTCAGTAATTTCGGGTAAGACTAGCACGACTTATCTACTTGTATATGGATACAAGGTATAGACCTCATGTGCTACAGATATGGAGATGTCTTAGCTAAAGTCGTGGGTGGACCTATAAGGGTATAGCTCGCACTGAACGGACCCTCAAAGAGACTCTATGAGGAAATCTCACAGATAGCATCATTAGAGTAGTCTCTATATATTTGGGTATGTCTTTCCTTAGACCAGAAGTTATCACTTAGACTGTGTTCTAGAAGGCATGCCTTGATTGTATACCTCGTCTGCCTGAAACATGGAGACTCATAGGTATGCTCTTGGGCTTGTCCTGATAGGGCACAGAGCTAGGGTGATAAGCTGAAGGAATTCGTCAAATCTCTGTGAGAGATTAGGTTATCCTTAAACCGGAGAAATCGGGATGACATTTACAGTGACTCGGGAATCTATGCATAGTAAAAGAGATCATAAGATGATCTGCCTTTAGAGTCAGTAAATTGAAGACTCCCTATTTCATAAAAAGCTAACCCTAAACCGCATGAGATGATACGTTTCTTTACCCTAGGTTTTATGGGAAGGTAACCGAGGCGAAGGGACAAACAGACGGCAACCAAATATGTTTAATAGGATGATCAAATCATTAATCTAACTAGTTCTGGGGCAACAAAGCATTGCTAGTGCTCTGTGTTGTCATTAGATGGGTTGTGGGCTTATTGGGCCCAGGCTCATTTATATCAGTGGCTATGTTGGACCTAATGGGTTACACGCAAACACCTAATTGTCTAGATGTTCTAGCATTAAAGGTATTGGGCCTAATAATAGTTATTAGCCCAAGAAGTTGTTTGGAACTCCACCTAAAGGGGTGGAGGGCGCATGGATCATTGTAATGGGCTTGGATAGTCCAAGTCATTACTAATTAATTTAATTAGTTAAATTAGTTATCAAACATTTAAATTTTGAATTTTTGAATTTAAAATTTGAATTTTGAAATTTGAATTTTGAATTTGAATTTTGAAATTCGAATTTTGAATTTGAAATTTGAATTTTGAAATTTGAAATTTGAAATTTGAATTTGAATTTAGAATTTGAATTTGAATTTAAAATTTAAGTGTTTGAAAGTTTGAATTCAAATGTTTGAGATTCGAATTTGAATTGGCTATGAAAAGTTGTTTCATAACAAAAGGATAAGATGAGATCATCTTGTTGGAACATATCAAGAGGAAATCTTTTGGACATAATCTAAGAAGATTTGGGGTGCTGATTTGGCTGTTGGTTAGTCATCAGAATCAGCTCCAGAAGATACGATCTGTTGGGAGAATATTTGAGTGATTTGATTCAAGTTTGAATGCAACTACTCAAATGTATCTGGTCATTATTTAGGCTATATGGGGTGCACTATATAACTGATTATATGATGATTTATGATCAGATATTTGATTAGGTTTTGAACCTAATATATCATAAAGATATGATAGGATGTTGTGGGCAAGATTTGATGAGATTTGATTTGCAACAAATCCTATTCTCTCTCTCTTTGATAGAGCGCCCTTTTGGAAGGGATTTTTATTGATTAAAAATCTGATTTGTTTTTAACAAATAGGCTCCTCTTGTGCGCCTCTTTATATATGTTCCTTCTAGGGTTTTTAGAAAACCAACCAAGCCATTCTTTCTCCTCTCATGCGCCACTTTTGTGAAGATTTCACATTGAAAGCTTCACTCTTTTAAACACTTTTACCTAGCCTTTCTCTTCATATAGTGTGCGCTTAGCAAGCCTCATTATAGTGATCACTTGGCGGTTTCACAAGAAGGAGTTCTTGCACCTAGACGCAGTGGGTGGTGTGGATCAACGTTAGAGGGTCTGAACCCTTCAGACCTACCTTGATCATCACGAGTTTTCACGAACAAGGTAACATCATGCTTTCCTAAAGCATGATCTTGAATGCATGTGTGTTCCGCAATGAAAAAGTTTTGTTTTTCCCTCCAGCATGCATCGGCCTTCAAGGCCATTTCCAACTTTCAGGATACAACCTCCAATGGCTATAAATAAAGAGCTTGAGGTCAGAACCAAGACACCAATTCAGAAATTCATTCATTCATCCCCATTCATACTCCAAGGAGGAATCCTGTTGCGGAGCGCTGGAACACTGAGGAAGCAAGTCAACATCACACCAATGGAGGCTTGGGGTTCTCTTTTCTTTATTATTTCTTTTCAAATCAGTATGCTTGAGTAGTCTTTTATGTAGTTAAGGGTAGATGAAATCCAATTGAATCTTTATGTTTATGAATTAAATTGTCTCTGAATCCTGTCCTTTTTATAATTGAATAAATTACCTGTCTTTATTGCTTTCTATGAGTTTGTTCCTTATAGAATGATTTTGGGGAATTGTATGACAATAGGGATGTTGGTGCATGAACCTTGACTTGATAATTTATCATAATCCTTGTGATCTAGGAATAGACATAGGGTAATTATGCAATCTTGTAATTCTTGATCTTAATGCATGTTTTCTTGGGGAATAATCGGGGAACTAGAGTTCTTTCAAGATTACATAGATTTATGGTAACAAGGAATTGAGCCGTAATTAACTCAGATAAAAATGATTGGCAATCTATTAAGAAACAGATTCTTGGCTATTTAATTCATAACATATTGAGGATATTGGGGGAAGCCGAAACCTTAACTACGCTTGTTTTAAATTCTTAATCAAACATCATCTTCATTCATTCTTTTAATTCTGAATTACCTTAATTGCATGATTTTAATTGTTTTTAATTTTAAGTTCTTTGAATTACAACTCCCTTCATCTAAATTCTTGATTGTCCAACTAAGACGCGATTAGCAAACTAGTGCTTGAAAATTCTGATCCTCGTGGGAATGATCTCGTACTCTGGTACACTTTATTACTTTCACGATCGGTGCACATGCTGAGTCGCAACAGTATACATTTAGCCCAACGTCTAGAATTATACTTTAGGAGTTAGTTTAGCCTAAGACCTATAAATTTCTATACTAATCAATTTCATGAAAGTTCTAGAGGATAGTTGCACCTACCATTATTAATAAGGGTAGTTGCACCTACCACAATTAATATTTGTATTAGGCTAGTATAGAAAACTCTAGAATTATTTGGAGCCATTGTTTTGTGGAGGTGCCACTAGTATAAATGAGGGTCATCTCCATCATTTTGTATAAAGCCAAAAAGAAAAAAGAGTTGTGAGTCAATAAAAGTATTCTCTTCCTCCATATCTTTTTATAACATTTACTTTTCTTAAAACTCCTCCTCTCCCTGGGTGATCTGTGGTGCAGAGGCAGTGACGAAGAGATCATAAGGTGTAGTCCCAGGACTTTGCTGCATACGGTTTCCCAAGCTCGCGGTGCGTCTTAAGTCGAGCAGGTCTTCCGGGAAATAATCCCGGAAGTCCTTTATTCAGGCATTCTCCTCGGAACCGTAGTACCAAAACAAAATAAGAAAAAAATAACTCTTTCTTTTGGTGTATTAAAATAAGAAGACAAGATCCTAAACAAAGTGAAAAAAAAGTTTTTGTTAAAGTGTCAGCCCCTTATTTTTGTCAAAAACAAAACGAAATTTCCATCCACCATTATAGAACCCTAGATTTGATCTTTTAAGGCACTAAAAAAAAGGCATTTACAAATTTATTTTACATGAAACACAAGATTTGACCTAGCTTACTTTATCTTAACCCTAAGTTCAAAAAGCATGGCTTGAATTGGAACAATTTTCCTATTTTTCTTGCTTCTAATTACAAAGAATCAATGGTTGATAAACTCGAAATTATACATGAATAGAAGCTGCATCCTGTTGAGCTAATTTAATCCCTTCTAAATTTTGCTATGCTTCTTAACCAAGGTTAACAAGCAGTGATGCGAGATGTTTACGGCTATGAATCTCAACCCTTTCACAAAGTAATCCAACCCTGAACATTGAAAACAAGTGAGAAGTACAAGGGAAGCAAGATGATCCATAAAAAGAACACAGGAGGTTTCTTTAGCATCTTCTTCAAATCTATGCACTGACTAATCCAGAGAAGCTGGATCTTTATATTCATCCATGTACTCAGTAAAGCTTGGCCATATTTTGGCTTACTGATTTATCCAACAATCTTTAATTTGCTTATTGACATAAAATAAAACCTCATATTGAAAGAGTTGTTTAGAAGAAGCTTATGAAATTTGTCCGTAGGATGAGTACATCAAATTGCTCATATTGATGATCTGAGCATATAGTTAATTTGCTTTCATATGGTTTGTGAGTATGTAGCCTACGAAGTGGAGAAGATTGAGTATTCTTTTATAAGACACACAGCCATTGGAAATTTGAAATTGACCACCTCTTAATTAGATTCACTATCAATTTGAAGTGAGGAATTTTATTTTTTCTGAATTAATATTGAAAGTTATATACGAATCTTAGCAAAAATAAAATAAACCTACCTACCAATATATATAAATATATATATATAGGGGTTTACATTTCTGTAGCTGTTATACGTGCAGCAATCAAATCCTTGCCATATGCTTTTGAAAGCATTAAATGTGAGGGATCATAACCATACAAATGATGAAAGCATTAAATGTGGGAAATCATAATCATACACTTGTCTTTGTTGTACATAAAGCGATTGTAGAAATAATTTTACCATATATATATATATATATATAAACCATTATAGAACACAGCAAAATATTTTGTTGATACCGTTTAGGGTAAGGAAATCAAAGACCACCAATACTCATAAAACTAGTTGTCAGCTGATATTAATTTCTTTTTCTTTTACAAAACTTCAATTTTGTAAATCCTTGCTTATTGTAATTAAGATCTAGAAGCCCCACAAATTAGTATCGATTTCAAAATCCCTCCAATCGAGCGGTATTTTCATATCACTTGACGATACATTCACAAACTTCTTCAATCTCTCGCTTACTTTGGTCACTCCAAACTGAAGATAAGATTGAGGAATCTGCATAAACCCATAAACAAAGAGAGAAAAATGATTAGAATTCTCAAAATTATAGGACTAGTTATATGTTAAAACGAACAAACACATGTATTATATGTTAAAACAAACAAACACATATATTTCGATCCTTTCCATTATCATTTTTGCAAAAGATTTAAAATCTTAATCTTAAATTAGTCCGAATAGAATTGTCTCGTATGGAAGATACATGTGGTTTATCCAAAAAAGAAAGAAAGAACAAACACACGAAGATGAAGGGAAAACAATCATGTGATATAGATACATACCTCAGCATGCACAACATGAAGCATTGAATCTCCGGCCAGTGAGGAATTGGCAGACTTGAAAAAGGGTATTCTAATATATTATAGAATTGTAAATAATCTGTACAAAGGGTTCTCTATTTATAGAGAATATTTGACCTACTTTTAACCTAATGGGCTTGGCCCAATACAACAAAGGGCTTGGCCCAATACAACAATAAATAACTAAATAAAAACTAAATAATAACTAAATCAATATTATTTACAACACTCCCCCTCAAGCTGAGGAATAAATATTTATCATTCCCAGCTTGCTAGTAAGTTCTTGAAATCTGTCTGAAGGAAGCCCCTTTGTTAATAGATCAGCCAATTGACGCCCAGTGGGAATGTATGGAGTGGTAATCAACCCGCTATCAAGTTTCTCTTTGATGAAATGACGGTCAACCTCAATATGTTTAGTCCGATCATGTTGAACTGGATTATGAGCTATACAAATAGCGGACTTATTATCACATAGCAGCTTCATAGGTCCCTCACATTTTATTTTGAGATCATCAAGAACAATTTTCAGCCACAGTAACTCACAAATGCCTTGAGCCATAGCTCAAAATTCAGCTTCTGCACTTGATCTGGCAACCACATCTTGTTTCTTACTTCTCCATGTCACCAAGTTACCGCAAAGAAACATGCAATAACCAGTGGTAGAACGACGGTCAGTCACGGATCCAGCATAATCAGCATCTGTGTAGACTTCTAAAGATAGATTGCCATCACTTTGGAATAACAATCCTTTACCAGGAGTACCTTTAAGATACTGAAGAATTCTCTCTACTGCCTGCATGTGTTTTTCTTTTGGATCGTGCATAAACTGACTGACAACACTAACAGCATAAGCTAGGTCTGGTCTAGTATGGGCCAGATATATCAATTTCCCAACTAGCCGTTGATATTGTCCTTTATCAACTGGAGGACTCTCTTCTTCATAGCCCATCTTGTGATTCTGCTCAATAGGAGTATTAGAGGGTTTACACCCGAGCTTTCCTGCTTCTTTGAGAAGATCAAGAACATATTTCCTCTGGCTGATAAAAATTCCTTTGCTTGAATGAGCTACTTCTATCCCTAGGAAATATCTCAGTTTCCCAAGGTCTTTGATTTCAAACTCAGAGGCAAGCCGTGTTTGCAGAATCTGTCTCTCCACAAAATCATCATCTGTGATAATAATATCATCAACATATACAAGGAGCACAGTAAGCTTCCCATTTTGGGAGTGCTTGAAGAAAAGAGTGTGATCTCCTTGGCTCTGTCTGTATCCTAAGGTCATCATAACCTTAGTAAATCTTCCAAACCAAGCACGAGGTGACTGCTTCAATCCATACAAGGCCTTTTTTAATCTACAAACTTTATTTTCCCCCTTCACAGAATCAAAACCAGGCGGGATTTCCATGTAGACTTCTTCTTCTGACTCACCATTGAGGAAAGCATTTTTCACATCAAATTGATTTATATCCCAATTGTAATGGGCAGCAAGGGATAACAAGATTCTCACTGTATTCATCTTTGCAACTGGAGCAAAGGTTTCTTCATAATCAATGCCATAGGTTTGAGTGTAACCTTTGGCCACTAATCGAGCCTTATATCTCTCAAGAGTGCCATCAGAATTATATTTCAGGGTATAAACCCATCTGCACCCTACTGCTTTCTTTCCGTTGGGTCTATCAATAACCTCCCATGTTTTATTTTTCTCCAAAGCATTCATCTCCTCTTGCATGGCTTGAGCCCAATTCCTATCTTTCAAGGCTTCATGTACTGATTTTGGGATTGCAATAGAATCTAGTGCTGAAACAAAGCTTTTGTGCTGCACAGAAAGATTAGCAGAGGAAACAAAGTGGGAGATAGGGTATTGAGTACAAGAGGGACAGGAGGAACAAGTTTTCTTGTGACAAGATCTTTTTCCTTTTCTAAGAGCAATAGGTAAGTCATCAGAAGTAGAAGCAATGGGTAAGTCATTAGAGATATCAGAAGAAATAGACAAATCATGAGAGGAAATAATATTAGAATCAGAAACAGGAGATTCAGAAGAAATAGGAGATTCAGGACTTACCAGTGGTTCAGACGATTGAGGTTGCTGGTGAGACAGTATGGGTTGTATCTCAGGTGTATTTGAAGGTTCTGACACACCAGGAGCAGACACACTAGGAAGAGAGAAGATTGATCCAGACTCAAAGAAGGAAGGGGACGAGTCTTCTGAAGAACTATTCTCCCCCTGACGATGAGGACCCAGGAAATAAGATTCAGATTCTTGAAAGGTGACATCCATAGAAACAAAAAATTTCCGACTTGGTGGATGATAACACTTGTACCCTTTTTTATAAGAGTTATAACCAAGGAAGACACACTTAAGAGCCCTAGGATCCAACTTACTCCGATGTTGTTTATGAACATGGACAAAGGCAACACATCCAAACACTCTTGGTGGAAGGCTCTGCAATATGGGAACAGAAGGAAAGAAGGAAGTCATGGAATGAATAGGACTGATATTGTTAAGGACCCGTGAAGGTAAACGGTTGATCAAAAAAGTTGCAGCTAATACTGCTTCTCCCCATAAGAACTAGGAACAGATGTCTGAAAAAGTAGTGCTCTAGCAACTTCAAGAAGGTGACGATTTTTCCTTTCAGCAACCCCATTTTGTTGAGGGGTATCAACACATGTGAGCTCATGAATCATACCTCTGTCTGAAATGAATTGTGACAGGCGTTGATTGACGTACTCAGTACCATTATCAGATCTGAGTCTTTTAATACCCTTACCAAACTGAGTCTCAACCATGTGATGAAACCGAATAAATATCTCTGGTACTTCAGACTTGTCTTTCATCAAGTATATCCATGTTATCCGAGTACAATCGTCAATAAAAGAAACAAACCACCTAGCACCTGAAACACTGTGCACTTTAGAAGGGCCCCAAACATCAGAATGGATAAGAGAAAAAGGTTCTCTGCTTTTAATAGTGCTAGAAGGAAATGACACTCGATGGTGTTTTGCAAATTCACAAACATCACAATGAAAGGTCTCAACCGACTTATTGAGAAACAGAGAGGGGAACATAGACTTCAAAAGACTAAATGGTGGATGCCCGAGACGCTTGTGATGGAGCCAAATCATAGACTCTGCAGTAGAAGGATGACGTGTCATTAATAACTGATTTTTGCTAGCATGGTCTGGAAGGAGATGATACAACCCATCCTGTTCATTAGCAACTCCAATTGTCTTCTTCGTGGTAAGATCCTGAATAAGACAATGAGAAGGAAAAAATGTGATAGAACAATTCAAATCAGTTGTAAGTTTTTGAGTGGAGATAAGATTAGTAGAAAGCTGAGGAACATAAAGAACATTTTTAAGAAACAAGGAAGGTTGAATTTGAATGTTACCAGAACCAATAACTGATTTATGAGATCCATCAGCTACGGATATAGTATGACTACCAACAGTAGGATGATAAGAACAAAATAACTCAGTACGACAAGCCATATGATCAGCTGCACCAGAATCCAAAATCCATGAGGTTTTAAAATCAGTGCAAGAAGCAAGAAGAGATATAGAACGTGTGCTCTTACCAGATAAGATCGAAGAACTATCATGCTCAGCCATTCTTTAACAAAAAAAGTTAACAACCAGCGATAAAATCAACCAAACAGAATATCAAATGACCTCTGATCAGAAAAATAATTATAGATCCAGACAGAAGACAAGAAGACGAGAAGAATGGTGGTGGTCCGGTCCAAAAACACGGCCGCACGCGCCTCCACGCGCCGGAGAAAGGAGCTGCGCGTGGGATTCACTCGCCGGGAAAGGGGCGGCGCGTGGATGGGCTTCGCCGGCTGAGATTTTTATGGTGTGGTCGTCCGGTGAGCGCACACCTGTCTGTGGGTGGTCGCGGTTGAAAAGTCGCCGGAAAGTGGTCCAAACGGTGAAGACAGATCTGATTGGAGGCGATCGGAGGTGTTTTGGTCGTTTGTGGCGGAGGAACACTGCGTAGAATGATAGATCGGAGGAAAAATAAGGTCAACAATGGTCCCCTTGGTCCAAAAGGTCCCCGGAAAAATTTTCCGGTGGCGGCTAATGGCGGCAAGAGGCAAAGAAATTAGGGTTTTGTTAAAAAAGAAGATAATATGTGCGGAAGCAAAGCCCTCAGATCGAGAGCTCTGATACCAACTTGAGAAAGGGTTTTGTTAAAAAAGAAGATAATATGTGCGGAAGCAAAACCCTCAGATCGAAAGCTCTGATACCAACTTGAAAAAGGGTATTCTGATATATTATAGAATTGTAAATAATCTGTACAAAGGGTTCTCTATTTATAGAGAATATTTGACCTACTTTTAACCTAATGGGCTTGGCCCAATACAACAAAGGGTTTGACCCAATACAACAATAAATGACTAAATAAAAACTAAATAATAACTAAATCAATATTATTTACAACAGGCAGTCTTGACCTCTATGTTCTCTTCATGAAGTATGCGAATGATTTCATAGAAAATGAACCGGGTTTCTAACCCACAAGTCAGAACAAGTTCTAGACAAGAACCCATTTCGTGAACTTCAAGCTGTGGCGATTTTGGGCAGCTAGTTGTAGCAGAAGAACTAGAGCAGCAACTACGTGATCTCTTCTTTTCCCCTAAGCTCTCTTTCTTCTCTTGAGCCATCTTCACCTTCCCTTCTAGGATCTTTATGTATTTGATTGCCTCATCTACTTGGTCAATTAATGGTAACGCTTCCTGCAACAACTTTTAATGATAAATAATTTATGTGCTCGAACTAGACTTCGTGTTTGTATAATTTCTGATGAAGCAACGAAAAACTAAAAAAACAAGCACAATATAATATGAATCCATGCATGATTAATTAATGGGGAGAAGAAAGATAGAAACCTTGGGGTTATAGTTAGGAAGAAGAGAATTGAGTTTGGAGTAAAGCATCTTCATATGGTTTCTTCTGCTTTTCTCTATGACCCTTCTTTCAACCTTGGTTGAAGAAGAAGGAGGTTTATTTCCCAGTTGATCCATTGATTTTTTTTTCACCCCTTAATTTCTAAGGTGTGTTTACGATAATCTAATTAAGAGCCTCGGAAGATGAATTGATGAATTGTGTTGTGTGCGTGCATGTGCCTACAATCCTACTATATATATGTGCGTGTGCAGAGTAGTGACAGACACTAACAGTGAGGAGAGCATATTTTATGCTCCTGTCGAAGAGCGAGAATGAAATAGAAGAGAAAAAAAAATTTAATTTTTTTTAAATTAAGTGTTAAAATTAGAGGTGGCAAAGTGGGCAGTCCGTCCCGCCACGCCCCGCCATCAATCCACCAAAAAATGAGTCGGCCCGCTCCGTCCCGCTTTTGAAAGTGGGTTGAAAAACTCAGCTCGTCCCGCCCCGCCTCGTTTGCCAACTCGTCCATCCCGAACCTATTTTACACTGACCCGCCTCGGCCTGCCTATGCCCGCCATCAACTCGTCAAAAAATGAACTCGCTCCGCTTTTAAGATGAATTGAAAAATTCAACCCACCCCCTTTGACGGATTGAACGGATTAGCCCACCGAGCCGAGTCCTTTTTGCCAATCTAGTTAAAATATCAATTGAAGTAGCACGGTAAAAAAAAAAAATTTAACAGTAAGAGGTGAGTGTGTGTAAGTGAACAGTGTTGAACTTTAACCACCAAATTAGGAAAGTGGAAAGTTTGATATGCCATGTCGTAAACGTCACCTTGTTGACTCTGCAGCAGCCGAGTCATTTGCCGTCGAGGTAGAAATTTTCAAAACTTACACGCGTGGCTTTTTTGGACTTTCTGTGTTCTGTCCGTACATGGTCTGTGCCAACGCGTGTAACAATAACGCACACTTTTGAGTTCTGTTATCACGGCGCAACAACTGCAAAATTGCTTCTTGTAACTGAAAAATTATTGGTTCCAGTTTGAGAAATAATTTTTTCTATAAAATTATATGGATAAAATCAGGGTTTGATATTTATTATTTTAAATGACATAAGTTATATTATTTTAAGAGAAAGATAGACACAAAAAATAAAAATTATGGGAGAAAGAAAGTGGATGGTTTTTTTTAATTTAAATTTTAAATAAAAAAAATATTTTGTGTCTATCTCTCTTGAAAAGACATAACTTTATGTCATTTAAAATAACAAACACTTTTTCTATTAGATTAATATAATCGATCCTTATATCTTCTCTTTCAAATTAGGGAGTTTTGTACAATAGGATTTCACTTTTTAGAGTCAATTAGTCTTTAGTTACAAGGAAGCCAAAATCATTAAAATTATACTCACACATTTCAACTAATGATCAAAAAGTAAACAAAGGAGAGCGGAATGCTAAGACATGCCTTCCTATAGTCGTTTGAAAATGTTAAATGTTAAATTTGAATATCCGACGTATGTAAATACTTATGATATAACTCTTTTCTACTAAAGGCTTGGGCCAATAAAAAATGAGCAGAAAGTATAATGCGTGTAAAAAAAAAAAAATTAATCCAAATATCATATTTTTAATGGAAAGAACATATGCTCCTTGAATACTGAAAGTTCTCGTATACAAAAAAAAAGTGCCTTTACCAATCTTAGATTGGTACAGCGATCTAGATTTTTCGTCCATCAAACAGCAAAAAGTAAACAAACAACTAAATTTAGATTTCACCGTTTATACCCTGCAGATTCATTCCCCTGAAGAATTTAGCATTCCAAGCAAAAATCCACAGGTTTCATGTGAATTTATTGAACAAGTGCCTATGCTCATTATATGACCGAGTTCTGACATTTCGTAATCAATCCCATGTGCTTAAGCCAACAAGTACCTATTTTCCTTTGTTTCATTTTCGTTCTCATTTTAACAGGTTCAGCCAATTCAACATGTTGCATGATGTGATGTCTATGAGTGTGCTACTACGAAGTTAGCAAAAGCAAAAGTCATTACTTTTTCCAGCAGCATGGAGGAAATCATCTGGAAGCATATAGACTTTAATTAGAAGGAAATCAAAACTCATTATCTTATTTGACAGAATTTTATGAAATTTTATCACAAATTCTTGCGTCGCAAGTAAATTTCGTCACAAATTTCTGTGTTCTAAGTTTATTTGTGACAAAATTTGATTAGTTGTGTCAAAAATAATCATTTATGACAAAATTTATGACGAAATTTTTCATCACAAATAAACTTTTCTGATGCAACTCCTCTTTATTAATAAATGAGTAAATACCCTTTTTAGTCCCGGGAAATATCCACGAAGCCCTTTTCAGTCCCTAGCAATAAAAAAGGACAAATTGGTCCCTGAAATAACAAAAAAGAGGCTATGTTCATCCTTCTGTTAACTCCCACCTAACGACCCAACTAACGGTGCACAGTTGGCACGTTAGTTTGCTGACGCGACTTGGATGTGGGATACCGTGGAAGACGAGACGACGACGTTTTGGTCCCTGTCAAAACCACGAGGGCCATTTTGGTCCATGTCAAAATGCACGAGGACGTTTTTAGTCCCTCACAAAAAGCACGGGGCCCTTATTGGTCCCTAACCAGAGAAAAATAGGCGCATGACTTCATTGCTTTTCTATGCAGTCCAATTTTGCAAAACAAAAGTGCATTACATCAGAAACAGGAGTGCAATCCATTTGTTCATCACAAAGTAAAATACTCCTTCTTGTCATTTTATTTCAATGAAGTTTGTGTTTCTAACTGAAGTTTCGACCTTATTAACGATTATTCATTTCTTTTTCAATGCTAATTAAGCTTCCCACTTTGTTAAAAGGGATTCTTGGCTCTTGCAATCAGCTTTTACGATCCCTAGAATACTATGAACTGCTTTAATTCTCTTAGTTTGTATAAGATATAGTGTTATGTGATTTACGAACAATATCTTCAGTAGTGTAGCATTACAATTATACTATTTATTTTTCTATAAAAGATAATTGCATGATTGTTGATATTTAAATACAGAGAAAGATTAGAGAAGAAGCCAGGTAAATGATTGTTGATAATTGCAATGCATGGCAGTTGACTGGACTGCAGCAGTTGGTAGTTCTCAGCCACATGAAGGTAACTTGAGAGGAAGCAACCAACCTCCATCAAATCCACAACAGACAAATGAGCTGTTGAGTAATGAAACAATGAATGGAGCAACCAGTGGCACACGAAGCAGATTATTGGCCTTCATGAGCACACCTGGTTTTAAGCCACCAAGGCCTGCCTCAAGAAAATGACATGCTGCTGTATATGACCAGGGAGTAGTGCATGAGCCAACTGAGAAGGGTTTATTATTATGTGACTGACTTTTTTTGAAAATTCTGGCCATTATGTATTTGGAGGTCTTATTATGTCAATGTTTTTTTTGTAAATTCTGTCCATATTGTATTAGAGGCCTTTCTTTTAATTCCTGGCAGTTGGCTTTATTTTGTAATGCTACATCCATGTCTTCAAATATAATGATACTCAAATCATGTTCCAGCTATTATGTTTCACAGGGTTGATGAATGTTTAAGTTTACCATTTTTGATGTTTTTTTAACTAATATACGTAGTTGTAGTTCTTGTACATCCATGTCTTCCGGTTTAACAAATTGGACTGCATACAAATCCAATTTAATGGCATGTTCCTGTTTTGCAAAATTGGATTGCACTCCTGTTTCTGATGTAGTTTTATAAAATTGGACTGCATAGAAAAGCAATGAAGTCATGTGCCTATTTTTCTCTGGTTAGGTACCAATAAGGGCCCCGTGCTTTTTGTCAGGGACTAAAAACGTCCTCGTGCATTTTGACAGGGATCAAAATGGCCCTCGTGGTTTTGACAAGGACCAAAACGTCGTCGTCTCGTCTTCCACGATGTCCCACATCCAAGCCGCGTCAGCAAACTAACGTGCCAACTGTGCACCGTTAGTTGGGCCGTTAGGTGGGAGTTAACAGAAGGATGAACGTGGCCTCTTTTTTGTTATTTCAGAGACCAATTTGTCCCCTTTTTATTGTTAGGAACTGAAAAGGGCTTCGTGAATATTGTCAGGGACTAAAAATGATATTTACTCTTAATAAATTCAATCTCAATTTGAATCAAGGAAATCATGTAAGGGTTTTCTGATGCAACTCCTCTTACGTTAAAGTTGTTTTTTTTTCTTTTCAATCATTCTTCTGAACCTGTCAATTGTGGAAAGAAAAAAATAAGCAATTTTAAAGATATAATTATGTATTCTTGAAATATATAATTAAAAAACAGAAAAATTTTCTGCAGTTAATGCAGATAAGTTATAAGCATTTACTTCCAAAACAACGTCATTTTGGGATTGAAAGATTAAAAAATTATATTTATAAAGACTATAATAATCCTGAAATAAATTAAAATTACAAAAACACCATGATTTTCGTCCCAAAACGACGTCGTATTGAGCTTACTGGAGATAAATTATCTGCAGCAACTGCAGAAAAAGCGAACCCATTAGAAAAGGTAGATGGATATAAACTTATTTCAAATGGTTGAAATATATATATATATATATATATATATATATATATATATATATATATATATATATATATATCGACTTAAGTCTAAATGGTCTTATAAGTATATTGAATTTAAAAAATTAAATACACAGTAAAAAGAAAAACGATTGTTTGATTACCGATAAAATGGAAAATGGAATCATAAAAAACATGGAAAATTCTTGAAAAAATAGGTGAAGTTAAATTCTTAGAATTTTTAATTTATTAGTAACAACTAATAACTTAATATTTTTCATAATTTAACTTTATTTGGAATTACAATTTGCACATATACTTTTAATATTATTTACTTTTATGAATAAATAAAAATATACTTTTAAAATAAATAAAACTAAAATATATCTTGGGTTTTAAAGAGCTTTCAAGCAGTGTTTTAAAACATCGTCACGCCTCGGGATCGATCCCGCTGGATCACTGACCCCCTTTTCCTGAGGGTTGGTGTCAACAGTTAGACCATGCATGCATGTTGACTCCTCTTACCCCCAAAACCTAGCCAAGTCTCGGTGACTCCCGG